CGGACGAAAACAGATGGCAATAGGTCACCTGAGTTTACTCAGGTGACCTAAAAATAGGGAGAAATGTAGGTCTAAAATGATTTCCGTCAAAAACTGAAGCGTACAATTGGAATACTTTGCTCATTTGGGATTCCATATAATCGCTTCAGTGTTACACAAGTAGAAACAGTAGACAACGATTTCCTAAAAAGGACGAACAACAGTTATCGCTTAGATAAAAATTATTTTTAAGAACAAGTCGCTTTAGCGCCTGGTTTCGCTTATGTAAAAGAACAGATGGCTGACAAAAGCTGCACTCAATCAAACTTGTTCTGTAATTGAATGTTAAAAAAGCGAAGACTACATTTATTAGTGAAACACTTTGTAAGAAAAAAGCGAAATTGTGCGGATAATGAGCTCTCAGTTACTGCACTGACACGCGTGCGTAGGATTCTCTTAAAGATTGCATCAACGCTTAATCGTTTATCATTGGTGAGCATTAACAATAACGAGAAACTGTTAAATGGTTTCGAACACCTCTCTCAGAAAGAAACAGAAAACAAATCACAATGCAGAGAAGATGTACGGGGCTCTGTTGAAAGTACCACCAATGATAAACACACCAGTCGTCATAATAGAGAATGTACATCAACTACAACGTGTCTTCCGAGTTCTAAAATATGAGGTTCTTCTCCGACTAAAAGATTAGAGAATGCGATGAAAGAAAGCTGGTAATATTTCATTTTATTAGAATGAAGGGCGAATTTCCTTGTTTCCTTTCCAACAAAACATAATTCATTCTGTATTATTTTTTTAAACTTATGGTTTTGTTAGTACACCATAACGCTACAGTTCTGCAGTTAGAATGTTGTATGTTTGCATGTGTTATGTCAAAAATAAAGGGTGATATGTTTGCAGTAAATTTAACTCAACAAAAACTTTCCATAAATATAGCTTTATTGTCATGGGAATTTGGCATTGCAGCTATTTTGCTATTTTAAAAAGAAAAAAAAACTCTATGGAATGAAAAAAATTGAAGATAATGATTTGTGATCGATCTCAAAAAAATCTACAAAACACAAATCTGTCAACAGTGCGTAAAATGCGAAATCCCGAAAATTCAAGAGATCATTGTCTAGGGGAGAGAGCCTCGCCTATTGAAAAAACACATCTCCTGTATTTATCAGGGACGGAACATTAGAAAGTCAGATTTAGAAAGAAAAACAAAGACCTTATAATTGGAATTAAAAGTACAAAATACGGTCCAAATGATAGGTTATACTCTTTAGCAAAGTAGAATCGTTGGATTTTAAAAATAATTTTTAAAAAGAGAAAAGTTCTTCGTGTTACATATTCTCGTTCTAATTCAAAAATCTACTAGTTTTAATAAATAGAGCAATATGAAAATGTTTGCCTTGGTAATGTTTTCTGGTTTCTTTTTACATTGGAGTATTAGAAGTTTATGACCGTGGAATGACTTTTATGTTAGCTCTGAGGATGATAAACTGAGGTTGAATTTAGTTCTAAACAGAATTTTCGATCAAACCTTCCAAGTCACTTAACCTAGCAATAATATATATTCAAAGAGGTGTATGATACAGTATCACAATGTGTTTTATGAATGATATTTTCTTTTAATTTACAATAAAATCTTATTATAAATTCTGTTTTTAAATGAATATACAAGTGTGTACCAGTAGTCTCATTTAGTTGAAGAAAGATTTTTCATTTGAAAATGAAATAATCAAGAATTTATAAAAAAAAAAAAAAAAAAAAAAAAAAAACTAGATCCAGGGATCTATGAATCTATAAGCTTAAATAATTAGTTTTTGTTAATTGCTTTCCCGGATATTGTGTTTCTTTTTGAAGCAATTAAAAGCAATATTCACATATGTCTACCATTGGTTTCAAGAAACGCGGAAATCTATTGAGTATTTGGCATCTGCAGCAACAGAAGTGGCTTGTACTACTTCGCGAGTTTTAATTAATAAACCTTGTTTGTTGTCAATGAGAAACTGAGCATTTCTAACCCATCAAAACAATACGTTAAAATGTCTAGAAGAGATACAGAGAATGGCAAATCTTCCAAGTAAACACTTAACAAAAGTTGTTAAAGTGTGTTGTTTGCAATTGTGGCGATGCTCCGAAATAGTTAGAATATTTACCTGAAGGATATGTTTATTAAAATAGTTTGAATAATGAACTGTAGGCAAATGTTTCTCGACTTCTATGGTAGAGCTCTCAATTAAAACCCTTGCACTCTGGCGTAATATTCCACATGTTCACAATGGGAAACTCGTGTACTGGTACATAGATACAGAACCAAATGTTCTCTCTTTTAATCACATTACCAAGGTTCTTACTAAGATAAAAAAAAAAAATCTGCAGCACATGCCTCTTTACACTTTTATTTACAGTGTGCTATAGAAATCAAATCAATAGTAGGTCACTTCATCAATCCAAATGGGTATAATTACAGGTGGCACTTAAACCTCTCTGCAGAATGGCGGGATTTTTTTTCCTCGTAGAGCTTGAGAGATGTGACAGACAAATCAATTGTTTGGTGATTTAAAACACAGCTTGATTAACGCTGAACACACGAGGGTTCAGAAACATTTCTGTTAATGATTATTGATAGGGAAGGTCCAGTATCAATAATTGGTCGTACTTAAACAATTACTCGCCAATCAATTTGTTTGTACCAAAACTCCCACATAGCTATTGATCAGTTTAACCATATGGACTGGAATATTCTTACTTGAACAGATGATTTTGCAGGGTGCTTCACTTGACAATATGTTCTGTTTTAAGGGAATTATGATTAAATTCTGCATATATCTGCAGGTAAGACAGAAGCTTTGTTCCCTTGTTTGCCGTTATGAAAAATAAGGGATCTTTAAGCGTGGAATAAAGTCTTTAATACAAGACATCCTTAAAACTGACAGGTAAACTCTAGGGTTGTGACTTTTGGTTATCTTGTATGATTTTAAATGCTGAAGAAGAAAGGGAATCTAGAACACCACTTATTTATTAAATCAATTGATGCTTTAGCTAATGATTTCAATACCTCTATCAAATCAATATTGAATTTTATTGTAGGCTCGTAGCGTTTATTTCCGATTTTATAGGATGATATGAATGTGTAAGGCACCTTTTCGCCATTCTATTTCATCTGCCTTTAAATTGGCAACTAGTTTGTCATCTATTAATAAGAAAAAGTCTCAGTGAATACAAATTTGATTAAAAAATTAATATGTTCACCATTCTTGCAGATTATCAACTACTTATTATATATACAGAGCAATAAAAAAAGCAAATTTAAAGAATTGTGATCACCCCGCTTTCGGTGTCCGGATGAAATTATTTACAGCATTTTGTGTCGAATAAAAACACCCTACCGTAATTATGCCATTCAAAAAATCACCCCGCTTTCGGTGTCCGGATGAAATTATTTACAGCATTTTGTGTCGAATAAAAACGCCCTACCGTAATTATGCCATTCAAAAAATCAGCCAAGTTAAAATTTTTGAAAATTATGTCAAACATGAAGATCAAGATGAAGGGGTAAAAAATTAGCATGCTCGAAAAGATTCTGTCACGGTTAATACACATGTCAATCACGAAATCATTATTTCTTCTCAATCAAAAGTTACAGGAAAAATTAACATTTTTGAAAAGTACATGTAGGTTAATTTCAAGACCAAGGTCAGACGGTCAAAATTCATAGTGTACAGTATCAAGAAATGTCTTGTCAAAGGTAATATTCATGTACATGTATTATGTGAATGCCCAATCTTTTCTCTTTCATAAGTTGTGACAAATTTGAAAAAGTAATAACATTTTTGAAAAGAAGGTCACACTTTACGGTATATTTGGAAAGGTCTTATTACAGATAATGTACATATGAATTATGAAAGTCCCATCTCTACTCATTCAAAGTTATGACCAAAGTTAAAATGTTTGTGACAGAAGGACAGACGAATGACATATACTAGTAATGTTCCGTCGCTTTGGCGAACGCGGGGGACAATAATAGTCAGGTAAAATGATAAAATTGAAATTGCATCCCATTAAAAGTTTAATGTACATGTACACTGTATAAATTAAAAAAGAAAAAAGGTTAAAAAATTACCTAATGGCATAAAAACCTCTGATGGATTCTTATCACTCAATGATCTTACTCCCGGTATAAAAGAAACCTCTCGCTTTCTACTATCTAAGACATGGCTTGAAGTTATAAACTGTCCATTTTGTTATTTGGACCTCACAATGCCCATTTTAAGTCCATTCCCCTTACAGAGTAATAATTGTCTTCAGACATTAATGGTACAGAGAACTTGTATTTCAACGAATATTGTGTATCGGAAATTTGAAATGAAGATAAGATTTATCAATTTGTCACTGAGCCCGAACGGAAATGAGTTCTACATGTCCAGGCCCGAAAATGAGAATGACTAGGGAAATAAACGCTCTTTTTCACACATTTTGTAGGTATCGTATCAATTACTACCCCCAAGTAGCTTGCAATTTGAGAGCGCTATTTCTGTGAAAGACTGTCTTCCTAAATCAAATAAATGGTTTGGAGTTGGAGTTTCGACTCTAACCGCGTTCTATGATTTGATTAGTGATGTTTAACAAGAAGACCCAAGAGTCTTATAAGGATGAGTTCAAGGAATAGTATCTGTTATATTATTATCCTTTGTCCGAGAAGTTGTTTGTCCATGCTGATGCGAGACAGTTCAAAATAAACCCTAGGGTTTTCTCTTAGATAGTCCCACACATTGAAAACACAAGGATAAAACTGGCGCAAGACCCACTAAAATATATTCTTCCACTTGTTTTCAATAGGGAGCTTCATGTTTTGAAAGTTAAGAAACATAAGTGATAAAATATAATGTTTATTGAAGAGCCTTGAGCGAAGGTACTAGTATGTAGAATAACAACAAAGTGTCAGATGACCGTTTGTAAATACATTCTTTATTAAATATTAATCTTGGAATAAATATCCTTTACTATTTCAGGTTTTCTGGTAAACTTGTACAACCTTTGCCAAAATGAACCAGAGCACGAACACCACTATGTATAACGTCACTGGGAACGTCACGGAAATGACGACAGCGGTGATGCCGAGCGAGCCGGCGCAGGTCATGCAGAACCTAGGCCTGACTGTCCTCTTTATTGGCCTTTACGTCATCATTTTCGTCCTGGGTCTCAGTGGAAACACCCTCGTCGTGTATGTTGTAGTCCGGAACAAAACCATGCAGACAATCACCAACATTTTTATCACCAATCTCGCCGTCTCCGATATTCTTATATGTCTATTATCAATTCCTTTTACACCACTGGGATATTTTCTGAATTCTTGGATGTTTGGGGAGGCTTTGTGTCACATAGTTCCTATGTCCCAAGCAATAAGTGTCTATGTGTCCACGCTGACCTCAACAGCCATCGCTGTGGACCGTTATTTCGTTATTGTGTATCCATTTAAACCTCGGATGAAGGTATTCGTTTGTTTGATCGTGATAGTGGCCATATGGATCATTTCTATTTCCATATCACTTCCACTGGGTATATATATGCAGCTTTCACGGGAGGACAATACAGGATATTGGAGGTGCAACGAGAATTGGCCCCGTGAGCAAGCCGGTCAGTTTTTCACCGTTACAAGCCTAGTTCTTCAATACGTTGTGCCTTGTAGCATTATTACATACTGCTATCTGAAGGTCTCATTGGCGCTCAAGAAACGATCCAGGACTAAAATAGGAAGTGGTTCAAAATGTCGCGAGAGAGACGAACTAGAAATAAGACGCAAACGTCGAACGAATAGAATGCTTATCGCCATGGTAACCATATTTGTGCTTTGTTGGCTTATGCTCAATATTGTCAATGTGACAGTTTCCTACAAAAAGAATTATCAATACTGGTATTATTATACTCTTATATTTTTTATTGCGCACGTCATAGCTGTGAGTTCTACAATTTATAACCCTTTTCTCTATGCGTGGATGAATGATAACTTTAGAAAGGAATTCAAACAAGTATTGCCTTGTCTATTCCGAGGAGATCGGGAACGTTATGTAAACGGAAGTACTACTAACACTCAATACACCAACGTAGATAATCAGCCATCAGTGCTGATCAACCGATCACCCCAAAGAGAGTCCGATGAAATGAACAATATGAAAAAACCAAAGGTGTACTATGACACTGAATCTGAGAGAGTGCATCTCAATCAGCTCAACGCAGATACGACAGATGATTCCGTGTGAGCCAAAGCTCACCTTAGGTACGAATTATCTAAACAACATCGCTGTGAGATTAACTCGTGATTGAGTAACTCGTATGATCATTGAGGCGCAACAGCACAACTTAACCGAGATCTAAAGTATTCCAAGTCATCTGTTTGTGTCCGTTAAAGCGCCGAACAAAGAGTTGCTGCGGAAGAAAGTAGGACCGATAATCGGTACGACGTCACATTACCCGGAAAGAGAAGAAATACTGAAGATTTCTTACTTAACCATGAGACATTGCCAAATACGGACATTTAACTGGATCTCACGGTCTAACATTGCATTTCAGTACTCATCAATGCTTGTTTATAATGCCGCATAAAGTAAACAAACACCTGGGAATAGAATTGATATAGATTAACAATATCAAAAACAAAGACTTGAGTTAAAAAAAAACACAAGGTGTTGAGCATTCTGAGTTTTTACATCAAGTATTTTACTTTTTATTTACATCTTTCTTTTTTTTTTAGTTAAATGCATCTACGTTGGTGAGGCATTGTAGGTCCCCTTGCTTCACTCCGTAGAGCTATTAAAGGACTTCTGCATACTGTGCTTCAGGATGTTGATATCTCAATATTTTGAATACTTCAATAACCTGATTTAGACTATTTGAAGAACAAAACTACACTGGACAGCTTTAACCCCTAATTAAATTCAGTAATGGGTTCCATTTAAAAATATTTTTAGATGTATTTAAACCAAGGTGATATGTGCATCCCTATACAGTATGGCACAGGATCGATATATTTGAATTTTATTGTTAGTATAAACTTTCACTTTTTGAAATGGAAATCATTTGGAAATCAATGAAAAAAACATACAGAACCATGTATATTTTTATTGTGACCTTGGTGTTGTTTATTTGAAATAAAATTCTTAATATAATCATTATTTTTACATCGGGGTAAAATTTCATACTGTTATTGGTAACATGATGAGGGAAAAGTTGCAAAAAGAAAATTATTTGTATCAGGTTATATAACGGAAATTTACGGCGTCTCCATGGAGAGTATTGCAATTGACAGTGGGTGAAATAAGATCACTGATCACTTGTTGTCGTTGTTTCATCGTGTCTTGGAAAAATTGATACGACTTTAAATAAGGGTTGGAAAGACACGTCAATAAATATGGTTATCAATAGGTAAAATATGCCCTACTCTCTGAAGCTGATATTAAAAGGATGTTCGAGTTTCTGATTGACAACATCTATGTTGTTTTTGGATACCAAGTCTTCCAACAATCTATTGGAATGCCCATGAATACCAATTGGGCCGCGTGATAAGCAGACCTATTTTTTTATTCAGATGAAGTAGAATTTTTCAAAAATCTTATAAGTGAAAAAAAACCACCTGCGGTGTTTTTAGATATATTTTACGATGTATTGTCAACAAAGGTTATTACCATTCTTATATCGATACGATATCGGTATATCCCAAAAGATATCACAGAGTCTGACACATCTCTTTCATATTTAGATATTTTACATTTTAAATGGTAAGGCCACAACAAATGTTTTTTTATAATGGCCTGACAATTCGTATGAAAAACGTCTGTCAGCATTGACTTCATGATAAATTGTATTTGTTGCAATTGATATAAACACAATAAAATCATGAATTTTAACGGTCAACTTGTTTGTCAATAACTAACCTCATTTTAAAAATGGTTCATACTCAGAGCATACTCCTGCGTATCGTATTAACTTTGAGCATGCAGGTGATGCAGGTATATTGCTGCAATAGTAAGGGATGTTTACGATTGAAAAGTTAAAGCCATCACATTTGTCATAAAGCTTAGTAGTTGGATTAACATTAACGTCTTTTTGAAGTAAAATATCGAAATATGAAACTTTTAAATAATAACTTAAGAATGTAATTGTTAATGTACATATATCTAATGTCGATTGTTTTTTTTACAAAACAAACTTGATATGAATACAAATGACCAAGGCAAGGAATTATATTAGAAAAAATTCAATCATTTTTAATAACTTCAGAAAAAGCAGTTGTCCATTTCCAGTTGTCAGTGATATCAAAAAGCCTGGAATGGAATTTAACTCGTGTAATAGGATTTAATGCTGTTGATTTTGGTAAAATTTGTGACAGGGATTACAATTAAAATCCCGTAGAAAAATTAAATAATAACTGTCATCATTGTCGTATACCCACGGGTGATCTCACCCTCAGACAAACTGAAAAAAAAAGGTCTTTAATTATGCAAATTTGTCGATTCAGTTAGATTAAAGTTGGAACTTGCAACGATAAAAGACATGCAATACAAAAACCATTCAAAAATGATATGGGAGTACCTTTCTCAAACTGCTTAATGTCCAGGTGAGTTTATTCATTTGCAAGGCGTTCACGAATACGTTTGTCAAAGTTGAACATACACTGTGTATACGTAACCTAAACTGCATTTCGTTGATATACCATCGCAATTGTGTTTGCAGCCAATCAGATGACCTGCGCATATTCATGCGCCGATGCATTGTTACAAATAAAGGGAAAACTTTCAAGTTTTCATGAAAACAGAGAAAACAGTTTTGTCCACCAAGAAGCATATTGTAAATTTTGAAAATTCTTATTGAAAATGACATGCAATATATGTAAAACAACTGTCGGATATCTGCTAGGAGTGAGGATAAAGTCACGTCGGCTCAATTTAATTTGCCGGATAACGAAGGTGGAATCTAGTGTGATCGACCTCAGTCCATCAAAGGAATAAAATGTGATCAGCATCGGCAGATCAAAATAATACTTACCGGAACCGGATATTAAGTAAAATTCTAAATGTTGAGATGAAAGACTGCATGGTTCCGGTTTTTCTGGTAGAATTCTTGTATCGTACATGTTCACAGACAGAAGAACCAGCCTGTCTTCTAATGACACACATAAACTGATGTCAGTAAACTATTTAGATAAAGATTTCTAAAATTAATCACGATAACCGTATTCTTCAATCTGTAAAATGTTAGACTCGGGAAGATAAATATTTGAACATTCATTTAATACATTGATACATGTATACATTATATTGAACCACAGACATATTTTTTAATCTTTGAAAAATTTGCGGTATGGCGTGTATTAGGGGTTGAGCACATAAGGGGCATGTTAATTAGCTAACACCTACGCTGATGAACTAGATTTATACATAGTTATTTTTTTTTTCAACTCAGATGTCAGTCAGTATATGGTTTAAGAAGATATTATTAATCAATTCTTTTTATTTGACCTATTTTATTCTTTTTCACAACACAACTGCCTACGTTTTTTATAATAGTTAATATTCTGCAGATGGGATTGAAACCAGTCTTATCCATTTTTAAAATATATTCTTGTAGATAAATCATGTTTAAATGACTGAATTGTAGTCCATCCCTGCAGAGAAGGTTTAACACAAAATAGGTCATAATGACAAGAATTATTGCATTAGTGGAGAAATGAAACATTTTTTATGTTGAAGTTATAAAAGAAGCTAGGAAATCAATTAAAGCTTTACTTTAGACAGGCATCTGCTGTGTCTTGTACAGCTAACTTCCTCTGGAGACAGGAGAGAGAGGACATTGTGACGTGATAAAGTGGAATTATTTGTGTTCGAAGGAATGACAGCTGCTGGGATTGGAAACCTTGCCTTCCGCCAGACTTCAATCAGCCGTGTCAATTATAGCAGAGATTTCTGATCGGGGCATAAATGTGATTTCCCAAATCCTTTTGTCACCAGGGAGTTCGGTGCGACAGTAAGAAAAATATCTAATGAAATCGTGGAGATGTCTCTGTCAATTAATGTATATGAGGAATTGTAGTAGTGGTAGTGAGAATTATTATATCTTTAAGAAATATATATATGGAATCAAGACAAAAGTGTGTCTACATTTATCAAAATTTATTATTTCAAAGAATCATTTACTCACAGAGTGCCTTTGGTTTAAGGGTGTGTAGCGACCTTGAAACAAATTTCTAGGTCTAAGGTTAAGATCATACCAGAATTATTTGAAAAATCAGTGTTCAGGGCATATCTTTTCTCCTTTTGGTCCAATGTCAATGTGGCTCATATTTTGCTCAAAGAGTGTCACTGGTCAGTGGATGTGCAGTGACCTTGAACGAAGTTTCTAGGTCAAGGGCCAAGCTCTTTTTAGATACCTTGCATTTTCATGTTTATTGCTGAAAACGGGGCTCTTTGAGATGGCTATATAAAGAGTATATAATTGCAACGTATGTCTTTATACGTATTATGCAACTATTCTTCACACAAGTACTCTGATCTGAAGTTGATATTAGAATGTGCTGTAGATGTTTCTCATTGCATTGACAACGTTTATAAAGTCTTCTGTTGGAATTCCGATTGGAACTTATTGTGTTCCTTTTTCAGACGACATCTTTTTTAGCTCTACTGGTCAGAGACCAGAAGAGCTTAATATGCGATAGTAATGCGTCCAGCGTCCGTCCGTCTGTTTGTCTGTCCGTCTGTCTGTAAACAATTTTTCAAAATGCTACTACTCCTGCAGTTTTGGTCCGATTTCAATATAACTTGGCACACACTAAGATACCTAATTCTGTGCATCGGTTTTTGATTTTGATGAACGTTGTTGCCGTGGTAACTAAAATAGAAATTTCTGTGAAATCCTTTCAAAATGCTACTCCTCCTACAGTTTTGGTCCGATTTCGATATAACAACTTGGCACACAAGTAGACTACACTAAGATACATAATTCTGTGCATCAGTTTTTATTTTGATGAGTGGCAAGGATCATTTTTCTATTTATTACTGTTTTAAAGTTTAAAGTCCCAACTGCTACTTTTCTCTTCCTTTTGTTTTAAGTATAAACCAGTAGAGCTACAGTCTCGATAGAGACTTCTGGTTATTCTTATTGAGCAGAATTTATCGCAAATTTCTAGATAAGAAGACGATATTTAGATATTTCGACGACTTTTTACGTTTTATTAATTATCAATACTTATTTTCACTCAACCAATTGTAGAAAGCACATCCGGTTTCAAAAATATTTTGGCAATTAAAAAACCTGGAACACAGTCTTGTTATAAATATATTTTCAAACCAGTGCTTTCTCCTTTTGTTTTGTTTACTAGTAGTTTTCTCATCGTAAAACCACCTTCTTAACGTAAATAATTTGTGGTGGCTTGTAAGGTATTTGTGCGAAAGGTTTATAAGAACATTCATAATAGACACAATATTTTCCTTTCACTGAGCGTTGGCGTTTGGAAATTTCTTGACGATTTTGTGTGTTTATTGACCGACTTCTTTTGTGGTACGAACATTTTATCTCCTGTCAAAGAATTCAAATACTTCCTGCTACTTCAATTTTTGAATTCTTTTGGAAAGTTTCTTTTGGCATTTCATATTCGTCTTTTTATCTCTATCAGCTAGAAATCTAGAAGTATATTTTTTATTTTTCTAATTTAAGATGCATTATGTTTTATTGAAAAAATATTAAAATACATTAATATGATTTAAAGATAAAACATTGATTTGGAGCTCATGTTTCATGGAATACTAACAAATTGGTTTAGTATTATGTTTGACTGTATTTACACGTACACGTAACTATTAGTATTTTAGCCAAGGGAGATAGAAGGTTTCATACCTCATAAATAGTCCTTTTATAGTCCAGGAATTGAAGAAAAAGCATTCATTTGGCAAATTAATTTAAGAATAAGTAGGGAAATGGTTTTTAATTTTAAAAGTATAAAAATTTGACAGTTGTGTGACAGCTTTCTATTATATCATCATCATGTTCTTTCAATTGTTCAAATCATTGCCACAATGTTTAGCATTTAACTAAATAGGAATAAAAAGGATCTTTTCTTGATTAAATGCATGTGTATAGGAAAAAGAAATATCTTCTACAACAAAGAAAATGTTAGTTAGGT